GATGGAGGGGCACTGGTCAGCGTGCCCTCATCCTCCAGGATGCCCCAATCCACACCGAGGGCAACCTCGTCGTCATCATCATCATCGTCATCATCGTCGTCATCGTCGTCATCACTGCTTACATCCTCTCCTCGACCTCGAGCTTCCTACTTTTCGCTGCTTCTCCTGTGTCTTTTGCTCCCTTGCCTTCTTCTCCCACTCGGCCGCGATGCGATTCGCCGCCACCACGACCCAATCCTTGGTAGGTGGGACGGGCAGTCCTTGAAGGTTAGCCTCCTCGGCTGGTCCTGCCATCCCAAAGTTGGTATTAAAGGGTCAGAAATTCAAGTGAAAAGAAGAGCACGGGGAAGGAAAGCTTACAAATTCAAAGAACCCTAGTTCCGGTCGCATTGGGGGATGCCCTAGCACCGGATACACGTGTTCGAGGATGGCGCTGGTAGAGTCCTTCGAAGGCTCCATCGCCTCCTTGATACGCTGTGCCACCTCAGAAGGAGCAAGCGCCTCATCAACGAGCATCGTTCCTTCGAATGACTCGCCATGAACCATCCGGTATAGGGGAAGCACGCGCGTCATCAGCGGCGCCACCCTCCTCGCATGGTAGGCACCAATAATCCCCGACCCCTTCATGCCCCGGACCTTCAGAGCCCCACTGCCACGGCTCTGGGGCCTAATCGATGAGACGCCCAGAGTACTTCGGCAAGGTGGCACTCAGGTCATCCTTGACGTAAAACCACTATGAATGCCAACCCTTATTGGAGGTCGACAGACGCATCAGCGGGTAGTCCCTCGACCGGGTGGGGTGCAGATGAATGCTGGCACATCCCATCGGCACACTCAAATCCTTCCCCACAATCTTCCTCTTTGACAAACTGACGGTGAAGAAGTACCGCCACAAATTGAAGTGGGGATCGATCCTCAGGAAACCCTCACACAGGGCAACAAACGCCGACATATGTTGGACACCGTTGGGGGTAAGATGCTGCAACTCCAACTGGTAATAATCCAACAACCCCCGAAGAAATCTATGCGCGGGTACGGCAAACCCCCGCTCATGAAAGATGGCGAAAGACACGACATACCCTTCAGGCGGTGCCGGCTCACTCTCATCACCAGGCAGCAGCCACTCCCCATCGACGGATAGCGGGCGGAGGAGGCCACGGCGGACGAGGCCCTCCAAACGCCGAGAAGTAATGCCGGATCTGCCCCACAGCTCCATCGAAACGTCGGGAGGAAGGTGGGTACGAGCTCAACGGTGGTGGCGGCGCGGGCACGAGCTCGACGGCGGCTATGAACGCGGATGCGAACCTAACGGCGGTGGCAGTCTTGACGTGGGAATCTAGGGCGATTGGCGGTGAAAAACTACGGATGCGAAGGCGAGAAGGCGAAGTACAGAACCCTGGGGGCGAACCCCGTGGTTTTATAGAGGCGACGGATGCGAGAAGAGCAACCGTCCGCCTCGATCCCCAGGCTTGCCACGCACACTGCTGCGTCATGTCATGGGACACGCGCCTGCGATCCCTATCCGGTCCCACAGAAATCACGCTAAACCGTTCACCTCCCCGGGCGACCGAACTCTTCTCCAACAGAGGGAACGTGGGCCAGAAAAAATTCTGCTCTGGTCCATCTAGGCCCAGAAAGACTAGGGTTGTCCCAACCATCTCAACGGGCGTCTCAAACAAGGAATGGACCCGCAAGAGACCAGGACTCCGGTACACGAGCGCCAAACAGGACTTCGACTCTTTCAGTCAAAACCCCAGCCAGGCTAAACCCGGGCAACATCCCCGCGAATGGGACACCAGGGTTCCCTTGGAAACTATCCAGCTGAGAAAAACCGAATCTCACTGTCCTACCCGTGAAGGGTCCGAAAAACACACGGAGGCTACTGTCGGGGACCTAATACTGGGGTACCCAATGAGGAAGAATTGATAAACATCGTTGACACTTCCAATCAAACAGGAGCGCAACGACGCCGCTCGCCCAAGACCAGGGAGATCGATTCCACCTCGCCCGACCCTCAAGGGCTAGGCTCCGCCTCGTCCGATCCCCGGTGCAGACTCGCCCGCCTGACCCCCAGACTCCGCCTGAGGGCTAGACTCGCCCCGCCTTGACCCCGAGGCCCAGACTCGCCCACCGACATCGAGATCTAGCTCCGCCCGCCTAATGACGCGAAGGGCTGGCCTCGCTCATCTGGGCCGACAAGGGCTGAACATCGCCTCACTGACGCCCTCACCCCTGCCCCTCCATGATGACAGGAACAGGTAAGACAGACGTTAGAGTCAACCGCGGCGGCAGAGGACCATGCCCCGTGCCACTAACAAGTACCATCGAGGTACGACGGGACGGACGCTTTAGGCCCTGCTAGACCTAACTGAGCCTAAACAGTGCTGTAGGCGCCGGGTTTTTGGCCTACAATATTGTGGGCGCCGCCTGCAACCCTCGGGCACGGAGGCTGGACACAAACGCCGCTACGAGACTCATGTTCTGTAAGTAACAAAGACGGCGCCGCAGACCGTTCGCCCCCCGGTGTCGCAGCCAACACTCTGTCTGTGTTCGACACGCCGCCCGCAGGGACGGGATGGGACGTGACCACTTGCAGGGCGTGACGTCGTCAACACACGCATACCCGGCGAACGTGCCCCCTCTGACACCGCCCGGTTGTGTCAGGGGGAGGGCTAGCCCGGAAGAAGAAGAAGACCCGGCGCTTTCAGAGGACCTTTTTGTCTCTGGTTTTTTATCCTTCCTCCGCCATGTAAGCCCCGCTCCCCTTGGTCTATAAAAGGAGGGGCAGGGCACCCTGCTAAGGGGAGAGATCAACTTTGAACGAACAACTCACATACACAGCCAAGCCGCCGTCAGGCTCTTGGCCTCCTTTCGACCCTTCCATCAGAGACCTGGGACCAGTCCCTCTCTCGATCGTTTGTACCCCCTACTACGAATCATTTTCGATGCTAATAACACGAGCAGCAACAGACTGGACGTAGGGATATTCAGCCCGAACCAGTATAAATCTTGTGTCCATTAGCGCACCATCCGGGCCTAACGCGCATAACTATAAATTTACTTGCCGGTGCTTATTCGAAACACCGACAACATTGATCGAGGCTTATTCAAGGGACTTGATCTTGCTGAAATTAAGAAAAAGTTGAAAAGAAAAATAGAAGAATCATTACCGATGTCTGTACCCAAATAAAGCTTTATTATGGGTATGTATTTGTTCCAACATCTTGAATAAAAATATACTTCCTATGACTCGATCTCTAGGTTGCTAATTCATGGTTTACCTATGTGTCTATGTTTTGCAGATCATCTCTAGGTTGGTCTAGTTAACATAGATGGTAAATTTGTGGTCAATCATCTATGTAATCTTCTCGGAAAAAAATCACCTATGTAATCTTCATTTAGTGAGCTATTTTAAGTGCCAATGTTTTACTTTTGGATTTCTGTTATATTAGTTAATCACAAAGTAATATACATATTTTGATAACGTAATAGTGTGTCCTTGCATAGTTGATAGTTATATTATACATGTTTGACCTTTCTATAAGCCCGCCACATGGAAAACATTCCTGCCTCCTCCGCCACTTTGAGGGTAGAAAATGTATAGCAACTAATAGGATTAAGATCTGAAAAATCAAAATATAGACTTTTGGCATCTTCACAAGAAACGTAAGAACCACTATAGGTTAAACTAAGGTTTTAACTAACTGCATATTCAAAATAAATAGAGGTGCCTTCCAAAGATCAACAAATTATGAATACAGATGTAAAAGCATATAGATTAGTAGATAAGTTTATCAGAACTACATAGTATCGATTATGCCAATTGTGGTACAAAATGAATAAAATGAAAAAAATGTTCCAACTAATATAAGTAATTTTTATATTACTTATAGGTATTAACATAAATCAACATCTAATGCCGAGCATGTGGGGGACTAGTAATTAAAAATAGGAAGATAAGATGGCAGTCTGACTTTGCCCTGCTTCGAAGTCAATGCAGTCTTAGAGAAACTCTGAGCTCATAGCAACAGTTAACAGGAGGAAGCAGCGAGGAAAGGGCCGGTGCGCCGTCCGCACCAATCCAATGATTCAATACCTTCTCCACCAATCCAATGATTCAATACCTTCTCCACCAAGTACCTTTGGAGCAAGGCATGGGCATGGCTGACCAGATTGCCATCAGTCTCGCACTCACCTTAATTAACAAATGAGCACAAGAGACTAGTCCAGCCAAAGCGGCACCTCTATTTAACCTGACCCCAAATGCCGTACCATACCCATCTCAAGTCAAATCCACTCGATCGCACTTGCTTACAATTACAGTCTCTTTCTTATACCACTCTATCTTCTCGTCAAAGCAATGGTTCTTGAAGCGTCGTTTGCCGCTGCAGCCTCAGTGCCATGGATCATCCTGCTCGGTGGTCTCACAAGCCTGGTGCTCCTGTGGCAGGCCGGGCGGCTCCTGCACCAGCTGTGGTTGCAGCCTCGGCGTCTGGAGCGCGCGCTGCGTGCACAGGGCATCCACGGCACGTCGTACCAATTCCCCGCCGGCGACCTCAAGGAATACGTCCGACTGGCCAAGGAGGCCTGGTCTAAGCCCCTGCCGCTGCGTTGCCACGACATCGCACAACGGGTCACGCCGTTTGTGCATCAGCTTGTCCAGGAGCACGGGAAGACGAGCATGTCTTGGTTTGGCCCCAGCCCCAAGGTGACCATCGTCGATCCTGAGCTGGCCAAGGACGTGCTGTCCAACAAGTTCGGCCACTTCGAGAAGCTCAAGTTCCCGGCGCTGTCCAAGATGCTGGGCGGCGGCGTGGCCAGCCACGAGGGTGAGAAGTGGGTCAAACACAGGAGGATCCTCAATCCTGCTTTCCATCTTGAGAAGCTAAAGGTACACACAAAACTTCTGATACGATGCTAATTTCGTTTCCTTTTCTTGTATATATTATTGCATCATGTAATTGATTCTTGGAATGAATTTGTTACTGCGAATTGTGCAGCGCATGCTGCCAGCGTTCTCTGCGTGCTGCGAAGAGCTGGTAAGCAGATGGGCGGAGTCCCTCGGCTCTGACGGTTCGTGCGAGCTGGATGTTTGGCCTGAGCTGCAGAACCTCACTGGAGACGTCATTTCTCGCACCGCGTTCAGCAGCAGCTACCATGAAGGAAGAAGGATTTTCCAGCTACAAGCGGAGCAAGCATCGCTTGTCATGACGAACATTCGAAAGATTATGATTCCTGGTTACATGTGAGTTAGTACTGCTTCAACTTCCTTGCTGTTTACTACTGATTAAACAGTTAACTGGGAACAATTTTTTTCCTCAAACGTAGACTCTGATTATCGAACAATTTAGTTCTCCTGTATACTAAATAAAACAAAATGTTTACGGACCGGGTTTACCTTTGTCAGGTCCTTGCCTACGGCAAACAACAGAAAGATGCGCAGAAACAACAAAGAGGTTGAATCAATTCTGCGAGATATAATTGGGAAAAGAATTCAAGCAATGAAACAAGGCGAGAGCACCAAAGATGACTTACTGGGTCTATTGCTGGAGACAAACATGAAAGACACAGACGGGGATAATAGCCAATCCACCGGCATGGGGATGACGATCCAAGATGTCATCGAGGAGTGCAAGGTATTCTATTTCGCAGGAATGGAGACCACGTCAGTGCTGCTCACATGGACAATGGTTGTACTCAGCATGCACCCAGAGTGGCAGGACCGTGCGAGGGAGGAAGTCCTTGGCCTGTTTGGTAAAGACAAGCCCGAGTACGAAGGCCTAAGCCGCCTCAAAATCGTGAGTACTTCTTCAGATTACTCGTTCTTTTTCCTGCTGGTAGCTACAATGCAAAAAAATATGAGTAATAAAATGGCAACGTATATGGCCGTGCAGGTGACTATGGTCCTCTATGAGGTTCTCCGGCTGTACCCGCCGGCCATTTCATTCGTCCGGAAAACATACAAGGAGATGGAGATCGGCGGCATCACCTACCCCGCTGGCGTGATCTTGGAGCTGCCCGTGCTCTTCATCCACCATGACCCAGATATCTGGGGAAGCGAAGTGCACGAGTTCCGGCCCGACAGATTCGCCGAGGGGATCTCCAAGGCCTCCAAGGACCCGGGCGCGTTCCTCCCGTTCGGCTGGGGGCCGCGCATCTGCATCGGCCAGAACTTCGCGCTGCTAGAGGCCAAGATGGCGCTGTGCATGATCCTTCAGCGGTTTGAGTTTGAGCTCGCGCCGTCGTATACTCATGCGCCGCATAAAGTGATAACAATGCATCCTATGCATGGTGCGCAGCTTAAGCTCAGAGCAATATGAGCCCGACATGATGTTCGTCATAGTGGTCTTGTTATCGTAGATGTAACATTAGAAATCAAATAATGGGCCTTTCCGTCTTAATGTCGGATGTAGAAATCTTCACATAGGGACTTTGTGCTTTTCATGTATCATTGGTGCTTTATTAGTTTTGTTTCTTTATTTACATTATAAACATGTTGATTTGTATCTTACATATATATATGCATTGTTACTTGTTAAAATGTGCTTACCATATTAAGGGTGTCCCCAACAGTCTCAAACCACTAGTTGACTTGTACGTGAGAGAAGAAATAAAAACAAAAAAGAATGAAACCGATGGAGAGCAACAAAAGAGCTGTGTGTGAGAGAGAGAGTCATTAGGTTCCATGACATCTTGTATCCCATCGCCAACGAGTTGTCTTTCTGCACTCTCTTTCCTACATATTAGCAGCAAGCAAGCTCGGAGTAAATAAAGATGGCAATGTGTTTCTACCCGATGGGTATTGCCCAACCAAACCCATGCCCATTAGGATAAATCGTACCCATTAAGAATCCCATGCCCATGCACGGGTACAACTCTGTGCCCATACCCATGCCCATGCAGGTATTGGGTACCCATGCGTTCGAGAACATATGTAAGATGTGACTTCATGAAAATGAGCATATCACAAATTTACATTCACAGCCAGCCAAGAACACAAGACAAATAAACAATAATCCACTGCATAAGTGTTTTAAGTGTTCAAGTGTTAAACTCATGATTAAATGATCAGATCTAATCACCAGCAACAACACACATAGGCACATAGCAGCAGGAATATCAGTCATCTCATCCAGACTAACCAACTTGGCCACTCACAATCCCACTGGCCACCACAACACTAAGCAGTGGCGGAGCTGGCCAAAGAAATGAGGTAGGGTGGACCGCTATCGACATATAGCGAACTTCACCGATATATCGGTCTAACTATGTATGTATACCGTATATATGTCGGTTTATCACGTGACAATTATATTCTAATATGTAATTCAGCAAACAAATGGTACAGAAGAAGTTGGAACACGGTTACCTTTCACATGAAAAAGACATAAGTAGAATTTTTATTCCGTAGTCTTGATAATTTACCATGTCCATACATCAAATGATAAAAAAAACATAAACAACCTGCAAATAAAATAAAATTAGTAATGACTATTGACCAAGTGACAAATGAGGCAATATGTAAAAAAATTGTCAAACATAGTAGGAAAACATGCCGATCCTAAAAAAATGTCAAGCATCGCTTCTGGCTCAATGGAGTTGGAGTTGGAGCTGCCAGCTTCTGCCTACTCGTGCCTCTGCCGGCTCCAGCTTCATCTCTTCCCCCCACGGCTTCATCTCCTCCCCCATCCATCAGCAGTCAGCACCAGCAGACCGGCAGTCCAGCCGGTGGCCGCTCTGTGGCTCGGGCCTCAGCCCTCGGGCGCAGCGGCACTGTGGGCTGCGGCAGCCGGCAGGGCAGTCGCCGGAGGTTTGGAGCAGCACGGCCGTGCGGGCGTGGCGGAGCGCGGAGGCGGACTGCGGAGGCGCGGAGCGAGGCGAACCGAGCCGAGCGACCATGATGCGGCGACGGGATGGGGCATGGCCGCGCGGCGCCGTATGCTGCTTGCCCTACTAAGGCTCTGGGCTGCACGATGGGTGGGTGTGGGCCATTGGGCCTTGTTGGCCAGAAGGCCCAGCAGCGTGGACTCCCTCTGCTTCGCTGATTTGCTAACTTCCATCGCCGCCGGCCTCTGCTACGCTCGAAGTCGGAGCCTCAGACCTACGCCGCCGCCGGAGATGGGGGTCGTAGATGTGGTGCTCGCCGGAGGGGAGGTAGGGTGGCCGCCCAACCTCGCCAGATAGGTGGCTCCGCCTCTGACACTAAGAGTTCAGGCCATTAAGGCAACCACATGGCCACACCACAAGGTTATTACAAGTTCATTACAAATTCACAATTGATAAATAACAATCAGAATTAGAAGCAGCAAATCAATTGTTCTTGCACTTGTCTTGTTTCATCCTTGCAACCAAAAGTACAGCAGCACTTGAACTTGGAGAGGAAATCTCAAATCACAAGTTCCTGCATGAAGAAAAGACACACATTAGTGAACTAAGCAATATAAAAAATAGGGCCAAGAGAAAGGAAGAAACCTCACCTGTAGACATATCTTGAAGACAAGACCAAAGGTAGCCTGCTGTTTAGTTTTCTCATCAACTACAAAATGGAAAAGGATTAGTTTACAGTCATTCAATAGACATTTGCTGAAATAAATTGCAGAACTAGTAAACCAAGCATTTATAATACCTTTGTACTTATTACGCAATCAATCTTGGGAGCACATGAGAGCCTCCAACATTTTAGAAGTCAGCCTACTACGATGCTCACTAAGCACCCTTCCACTTGTGCTAAAAGCCAATTCAGAAGCAACAGTGGTAACAGGAATGGCATAGATGTCCCTTGCAATCCTCCTCAGTGTTGGAAATCTAGTTCCAACCACCTTCCACCAATCTAAGACATTAAAATTCTTTGTATGCATGTTAACCATTTCTTCATCTAGGTAGCGATCTAACTCAGATCTGAACCTCATATTTGTTGGCCTTCTACATGCAACACGTGCACTAATAGAAGACAAAAAGTCATCACCATTGCCATTCAGAGAAGCTGTTGCTGGGCTGCCCACCTCATCTTCCACATGATACTCACAGATCAAGTCATCTAACAAGTTCTTGACCTCAATCACCTTGTCCTCACATGGTTTACCAGCTGTACCAAGCAATATTTGAGTTTGTTTTTACTTAAACTTGCAAATAGTTTTTTTATTTGTTTGATTGTAATTGCCTTCCTTCATGCTCCCATATATGCTACATCTATTGGCACAAAGTTTATAACTATTGTTGACCAATTCTTAGAGCAACTCCAAGAGAATTGCTATTTCTACTTTGAAGGCTAATTTAGAGTTTATGTGAAAGAAATCCGCCTCCAACATCTATTCTATCCGGGATTCCAAATTAGCTAACTAACCATTCCGTCCTTCTCGATGGCTAAAGAAAGCGAGCCTCCCTGGCTTGCCATCCGCTGCTTCCCCGCGTGATTCCCGTGCAGCACTCGTCCTTTCTGCGCCCCGAGTCATGCTGTCTCCACCTCTAGGCAGCCTCCTCTCCTGGGTGTCGCACGGTCGAAGCTCCGCGTCAGCATCCGTGAACACGTGCGGGACTATATATGACCATGCAGCCCGAGCCCATCGACCCCGCACGAGGCCCGTTTGTTTGGTCCGGCCCAAGCACGGCCCGCCCTGGTGGCAAGCAGGCCCGGGCTGGCACGATCCACTCGTTCCTATCTGCTCCAGGGGCAATGCCCACCACCACCGCAAGCAAGAGGCACGAGCATGAACACGCCAAGAGAAGCCAGCAAATTCGGACAAGCGCTGCCTCGATCGCGGCTAGCATGGGTTTCTTGGTGGGCTACCAGAGCTGGTGCTCTCGAAGCAGCTCTCCACCTCCTCCTCCTGCTGGGGTACATCCGCCGCTTCCTCCTCTGGGCGTTCGATGTTGTGGGCCTCGGCGACCCGCTAGATCTCGAGGACGACCACCAAGTGCTGTTGTAGGACGGTGCGGTGCGTGGCTGCCCTGTCCTAGTTGTGCGACCATTGCCTCCCTGCCACGTCATGGAGCAGCGCCGCCAGCCCGCCGCCTAGAAGTGCCACCGGGCCACTACTTCCGGCATGCCAACGAGCCTCCATTCTCCCAAGCAGCAAGGAGATGTGCTGAAAAGCAGATGTTGCAAGTGTATATTTCAAGTGTTTCGGATGTTTCAGAGGTATGTTTTTTACCCAAGTTTCAAAGGTATGTTGCAAGTGTTTCATACGGATGTTGCAAAAGTAGATCAGGGATGTTACATATGTTGCAATGAGCTATTCACAATGTTTCATCTGTGTTTTTAGACTATGTTGCAAGTGTGCTTATCGGGATGTTGTATATGTTTTACACATATGTTGTAAGTGTTTTATTTGGATGTTGCATATATTTGCAATGGTTTTCAAGCATTTTTCAGGTGTTTTTTTTTCAAGTGCTTTAGAAGCATGTTTCAAGAGTTTCATTTGTCTTTAGACGTATGTTGAAGTGTTGTATCTAGAAGTTTCAAAAGTAGATCGGGTATTACACATGTTGCACTGCCTGCTGCAGCTGCTAGAGGAGGGCACGAGGGGTCGGACAGGATGCAGACTGTGGTAGAACCGCCTAATCTAATGCCTCCCAAGAGTACTTGTCTTTCATTAGACACTAAGTACTCAAGAGAGGACACTAAACTATATAGTTCCATCGAGCACACCCCAAGGGAGAACTCAAAAATCAACATTTTTCCATTAGAATCATAAATGAGAGAATAAAGCTTACAACATTCTGAAGTCATTTCTTACATCACTTTATTACAGTGGTAGAATATTACCTCAATTGACTATAACAGTGGAATATAACAATG